CCTTCAAGAGCCTCTGCGGGACCCCCCAGTACATCGGTATGGGGCTGGAGGAGGAGGAGGGGCAGGGGGGGGGTCCTCTTGGGGGGTGAAGGTGGTGGTGGTGGTGCCCCCCAAGGAGCCCCCTTGCTCTGTGGGGTGCAGCTGGGATGATCTGTGGGGACGTGGTGAAGGGATGGGACCCTCCAGTTGTGTGGGGATGGAGGTGGCCACGATGGTGTTGTCCCCCTCCCCTCTAATGGTGTTGTCCCCTCCCCTCTAATGTGTCCCCCCCCCAACCCGGCTCTACGTTCCTCCTCCCCACCAGCTCCTGAAGTGATCAACTATGAACCTCTGAGCTCCGCGACCGACATGTGGTGAGGGGCTGGGGGGCTGGTGGGGTGGGCAGGGACCCCCCCTCAGGTGCCACAGAGCACGGGTGGGGGGACCCTGAGGAGGGTGACCCCCACTTCTGCCTTCCAGGAGCATCGGGGTCATCACCTACATCCTGTGAGTAGAGGGGTGGTGGTCCATGGCCACCGGGGGAAACTGAGGCACGGGTGAGCCCGCCCCGGTGTTGTCCCGGTGCTCAGTGGCTCCGCCGTGTCCCCGCAGGCTCAGCGGGTTGTCCCCCTTCCAGGGCGAGACGGACGCCGAGACCCTCTCCAACGTGGTGGCCGGCGCCTACGAGTTCGAGGAGCGTTGCTTCAGCCAGACCTCCGAGATGGCCAAGGACTTCATCCGGCAGCTGCTGGTGAAGGAGCCAGAGTGAGTCCCCGTCCCCTCCCCACCCCCATCCTGTCTCCATCTCCATCCACATCCCCATCTCCATCCACCTTCCCATCCCAGTCTCCAACTCTCCCCATTTCCACCCACATCTCCGTACCAATCCCTTTCTCCATCCGCATCTCCATCACCTCCATAATCTCCATCATCTCCATCATCTCCACCATCCCCATCTTCATCCCCATTTCTGTCTCCATCCACATTCCTAGCCCAATCCTCAACCCTGTCCCCATCCCCATCTCCATCAACCCCATCATCCCCATCATCTTCACCATCCCTATCTCTGCCTACCATCTCCATCCACATTTCTATCACAGTCCCAGTCCTCAGTCCCAGTCCTCATCTCCACCATCCCCATCTTCATCTCCGTCTCCATCCCCATCTCTATCATCTCCATCTGCATCCCCATCCCCATCCCCATGAACTTCACCATCCCTATCTCCACCTCCATCTCCATCCACATTTCTATCACAGTCCCAGTTCTTATCTCCATCATGTCCATCATCCCCACCATCCCCATTAACCTCATCTTCTCAATCATCCCTGTCATCTCCACCATCCCCATCTTCATCACTGTCATCACCATCATCCCCATCCCAATCTCCATCATCCCCATCTCCATCTCCATCTCCATTCCTATCCTAATCCCCAACCCTATCCTCATCACAATCCCTGTCTCCATCATCTCCATCATCTCCATCTGCATCCTCATCCCCATCATCCCCATCATCTCCATCATCCCCATCCTCTTCACTGTCACTGTCTTCATCTCCATCTCTGTCATTCCCGTCCTCTTCACCATCACCATCTTCATCCCCATTTCCATCATCTCCACCATCTCCATCCCCATCACCTCCATCATCCCCATCATCCCCATCATCCCCATCCTCTTCACCATCACCATCTTCATACTCATCTCCATCATCCCCAACATCCCCGTCCTCTTCACCATAGCCATCTTCATCCCCATCTCCATCATCCCCATCCTCTTCACCATCACCATCTTCATACTCATCTCCATCATCCCCAACATCCCCGTCCTCTTCACCATAGCCATCTTCATCCCCATCTCCATCATCCCCATCCTCTTCACCATCACCATCTTCATACTCATCTCCATCATCCCCAACATCCCCGTCCTCTTCACCATAGCCATCTTCATCCCCATCTCCATCATCCCCATCCTCTTCACCATCACCATCTTCATACTCATCTCCATCATCCCCAACATCCCCGTCCTCTTCACCATAGCCATCTTCATCCCCATCTCCATCATCCTTATCTTCTTCACCATCACCATCTTCATCCCCATCTCCATCATCCTTATCTTCTTCACCATCACCATCTTCATCCCCATCTCCATCATCCTTATCTTCTTCACCATCACCATCTTCATCCCCATCTCCATCATCCTTATCTTCTTCACCATCACCATCTTCATCCCCATCTCCATCATCCTTATCTTCTTCACCATCACCATCTTCATCCCCATCTCCATCATCCTTATCTTCTTCACCATCACCATCTTCATCCCCATCTCCATCATCCTTATCTTCTTCACCATCACCATCTTCATCCCCATCTCCATCATCCTTATCTTCTTCACCATCACCATCTTCATCCCCATCTCCATCATCCTTATCTTCTTCACCATCACCATCTTCATCCCCATCTCCATCATCCTTATCTTCTTCACCATCACCATCTTCATCCCCATCTCCATCATCCTTATCTTCTTCACCATCACCATCTTCATCCCCATCTCCATCATCCTTATCTTCTTCACCATCACCATCTTCATCCCCATCTCCATCATCCTTATCTTCTTCACCATCACCATCTTCATCCCCATCTCCATCATCCTTATCTTCTTCACCATCACCATCTTCATCCCCATCTCCATCATCCTTATCTTCTTCACCATCACCATCTTCAATCCTCATCCCCATCATCCCCATCTTCTTCATCATCCCCATCTTCATCCCCGTCTCCATCATCCCCATCCTCTTCACCATCACCATCTTCATCCCCATCTTCATCATTCCCATCCTCTTCACAATCACCATCTTCATCCTCATCCCCATCATTCCCATCCTCTTCACAATCACCATCTTCATCCTCATCCCCATCATCCCCATCTTCTTCATCATCCCCATCTTCATCCCCATCCCCATCATCCCCATCCTCTTCACCATCACCGCCTTTATCCCCATCCCCATCCCCATCCTCTTCACCATCACTAATTCATACCCAAATCCATCATCCCCATCATCCCCATCCTCTTCACCATCACCATCTTCATACTCATCTCCATCATCCCCAACATCCCCGTCCTCTTCACCATAGCCATCTTCATCCCCATCTCCATCATCCCCATCCTCTTCACCATCACTGTCTTCATACCCAACTCCATCATCCCCATCTCCATCATCCTTATCTTCTTCACCATCACCATCTTCATCCTCATCCCCATCATCCCCATCTTTTCATCATCCCCATCTTCATCCCCGTCTCCATCATCCCCATCCTCTTCACCATCCCCATCTTCATACCCAACTCCATCTTCCCCATCCCCATCATCCTCATCCTCTTCACCATCACCATCTTCATCCCCATCTTCATCCCCATCTCCATCATCCCCATCCTCTTCACCATCACCGTCTTCATACCCAACTCCATCATCCCCATCTCCATCATCC